TTAATACATTACTGATTACTAATTGAATTGAATTATAGTAATTACTAATTGAATTGGATTAATTTGTTCATAGAGTTTAGATTCTCAATATAACGAAACATAAAACGTAATTTTAAATGTCATAGCACGCACACATATGAGAAGTTTTGCATATAGCTTTTACAATTATTATTTGTAGTTGGAAATGTTGGTTATCCTTATTGTAATTCTGATACGATAATAATCCATTTTGGGGAAATGAATCTCACATTGAATAAATATAAAATAATAAAAAATTATAATAAAATAAGTTTTGGATCTAATATAAGCCAACCTATTGTAGAAGATGAAGTTCCATATTAAGCCAATTGATAAGTTTTGTGCCTAATATAAGCCAACTCATCGTAGAATATGAATTTCTATATTAAACCAATTGATAAGTTTTGTATTTAATATAAGCCAACTCATTGTGGAAGATGAATTTCCATATTAAGCCAATTGATTTTGATCATGTAGACATAGACTTAAGAATTTATTAAGAGCAAAAAATATATACTCCCTCCGTTCTCTTTATTTAGAGAAAATAAAAAAAAAAAGTTATTAGATTAGGAAGGTTAGTTAGATTAAATTTTCTCCCTAAAATGCTCTTCATTTCATCATTATTATGGGAACAATAAGTGCCACAAAAGGTAGTCCCAAGAAGTGCATTTATTGCCTACTTGCATCATTTGGGCGTCACTTTCAACCTTCTTTAATCTTTGTTAACTCTATCTGACTTTATTAGAATAGAGACGTTTTACATAATACGTGCACAAAAACGGAAAAAATTTTGGAGCCAAATTAAAGGCCAATTTTAGGGATTTTAAGAGATCGATTTCTAACAAAAGTCTTGGTTTCCCCCTTTTTTGAATAATCAAAACACATCCGCACTTTTAAAAATAAAACGCGATCGTTTTTAAAACTTACCTGAGCATAACATATATTTGTTCCTGACATCAATGGTTGTGGCCAAATTTATAATGATATAAGTGGACATATATTCATCAAACATACTAATAAGGGTTAACTCTGTATTTATGTGGTATATGTGATATCTAGAACCAATACGTAGGTACTTGTTATTAAACAAGTACAATAAATTGACCCACATAAGAATTCCATATGGAGAGTTACGTGTGTCTATGGAATACCTAAGTGATAGTTGTGTAAATGATCCTTTGACTTGAAATTACTATGCTATCTTGTATGGGGATGAGTATGTTTTGATTCTTCATTCATATTGTTCGTTTATGGATAATAAGTAATGGTTAATTAGAGATAGTAGGAACTATATGGAGATACTTGTGTAATTGAAAGAGGATTCATCACCCTAAGTAAATTAAGAAAAATATTCTAATTGTTCTCTATTAGTATTAATTAAAAGATCTTTGCGCAAGGTAGAATGTAATTAGCAAATTGGATTTGGAATTCCATTCAAATCATTAATAACTAAGATTAAGAGAATTAACATGATTTAATAAAGTAGACGTTCTCTACGCCTAATTACTAAATCAAAACATTAATGATGAACGGATACTAATAAAACTGATAAATCATGCACTGAAAAGTTAAAAATCAACCATTTTGACTTTTCAAATATTTTGATATTAATTAATTTGTATTTGTTGCTAATATATTTGGAACCCAATAGGTCACACACATAAGAATAGATATGAGAAAGTGAAAATGAGAAATCAAATCAAGTATGACTTGATTATAAATTAGTTTTAGGATATTGAGGACAAAATTATAATTTATATTTATTTACAATTTTATCTAAATTATTAAGTATTGACTTCATTGGTTTATGTCTAATATTTATTAAGATAAATTTTAGATTAACTAAACCTAATAGTTTTAATTATGATTTATTTATTTAAATAGTTAAATAAAAAATATAATTGATTAAATTGAAAATCCTATTACTCTATGTTTTTGTGTTGGCATTGTCCATTGAACCCGATTCCTACTGAACCCAGAAGTAGTATAAGACCCATGAGGGGCATCAAAAGGGTATAACCTGGAAGGGTATAACCGAATAGTCAAAACTTCTTTGATATATTAAAATGGATCCTTTATTGTGTAGATCAGTAAGTAGTATTAAATCTGATGACTCAGATTCTTCTGAAATTAAAAGGGTAATAAATAGAAATGAATTAATTTTACAAGATTATAAAAGAGTTATTTCTTTCAAAGAGGTTTAACTTTAATTGAAAATCTCTTTTCTTCGGTTTTAATTACATAGTGCAGTTTTAAATTAAAATTAAAAAATTTATTTATTTATAAATTTGTTCTTATATCAACTGTTAGGTATTTCCCATTCATCCATTGCTTTATCTAAATATCTTGTAAAAATTAAATTCATTTCTATTTATTACGCGCTTTTAATTTCTGAAGAAATCTGAGTCATCAGATTTAATACTTACTTACTGATCTAGTACTACAACAAATAAAGGATCCATTTTCAATATGATCAAAGAAGTTTTGACGATCCGGTTTACCCCTTCCAGGTTATACCACATTCGATGCCGCCTTATGGGTCCTTATACTACTTCTGGGTCTCAGTTTGGAATAGGGTTCAGTGGACAATTGCCAACTAAATTGATATATGCTTCAAATGAAAACTTTATTAATGTTTAAACAATAAGAAGTTTTTAAAACCTGCGTCTTTGTTTCTCTTGATACCAAACAAAAAGATATATGGTTATAGTACAGTGTAACTCTATATATATACATGTAATTAGAAAATACGATATATATATATATATATATATATCATATATAAATAGTACATATATAAGATCGTATTTTTCAATACATTATATATATAGATACACTGATATAACCCATATATATAAATTTACCGCCAAAATGTTTTCGTTGTCCGCACTGTCCATATCGTATTTTCTAATACATTATATATATAGATACACTGTATATACCATATATATAAATTTACCGCCAATGTTTTCGTTGTCGCATGTCGTCAATTGCCGTCACCTGTCGTCATCATTGTGGTTGTATCACATAAGTTGTATAAGGATTTCCTCTTACATATTTTGTGTTTCTTTTTTTCTCTTTCTCTTGCAAGGTTAATTTTGGTATTATTGAGATTCTTTTGACTGAATTTATTATTATCTTAATAAGTATTATTTTCTGACATTTTATTAAAATTAAAACCTCGTATATGACATTTGTTAAATTGTCCATTTTTTTTTTTCCTCCATAACATAACTCATTTCATTAAGAAGGAAAAAAAAAAGAGAAGGCTTTAAACTTCAAAAATAACCAAAAAAAGCCCATTTTGAAGGGAAAAAAAAACAGAATTGAGGTCAAAATTTTGTTTGATGGGTCAAACTATCCTACTACAACTCTTCAATATTTATGTAGACCTACCACAAGACATAATTAGAGTATCAACGAAGGAAACCAACAAGTAAGTTGCTTGGTGGAGAGGGAAAAGTAGACTAAATCTAGGTGATGGGTGGTCCCTAAGGCATAATGACCTCAAATGGGCCCAAAAGGTTTCCTTGTAGAACCTAAATGGGAGACAACAGAATTTTCTAAGAGCTGCTTTGTCCTCATTTTGAGGAGTGTGATCAAAAGTGTCACTCAATAAAAATACTAATACAAACTTTAAAATGATTAATTTTTCCTTCTAATAATTAGTAAATTTGCTACTATTTTAATGATTGAATTCTATTTTCCCAATCAGATTATAAAAGAGATGTTTTCTTTTTAATAAAACTTATTTAATTTTAACATCAACAATTTTCCTTCGTTATCTAGTTATCTTTTGCTATACGAGACTAATTTTATTTTAAAATTTTATGACTGCTCTTTTCATAAATCAAATTTATGACTTTATATAAATTATATAGCTAATCAAAGCATATCTTTACCACTTAAACACTTCTTATAGATGACAAAAGAATAGGTGAGAACTAATTCCTAAGATTTTTTTTTTTTTTTTTTTTATAACCAAGAGATGTAATTCTTTACGGGTTATATATAGAGCATAAAAACTTTTTATCCTCCCAACAAAATGCGTTTCCTGATATCAAACTTGCATTTTCACCCATACCGAGATTGAGCTCACTTGTCACCCCAATCAATATACTAATTTCTAAGACTTTAACAAGAAAGAAAAATCACTAATAAAACTTAAGCAAATCCTATTATATATATATATGATCTATTTCAATGCAGTCCCCACAGAGCCTTTGCTCTCTCACAACATAAAGAAAAGCCTTTGTAGATCCCATCATGGCATGGCCTAGTTAAAGCCCAAAAAAACCCAATTTGTTAGTGTTGCTTGACCAACTCTCTCTCCCTCTTTATTCTATATTTCCATAGAGATTTTAAAGGTGTTTTTTGCTTTCTATAAAAGAGTATATTTGGGAGGCTGTGTCCTTTGAAGAAAAACAAAAGCAACAAGCTACACAGAGACCAAAGAAAAGGTCTATAGAATTAAATAACAAATATGAAAGACTATTTCTTTAATATTTTCAATAAGAAATGTTCATTTTCAATATAAATAAATTTACTCAAAAATATTTCTAATCATAAATATAAAACATAACCAAAGTGACTTTATAACTCACTAAATCTTAACATGCTATTCCTTATTTCCTATTCAAAAACAAAATAGTATATGTTACTTAGAAGGAAGCTTCTAAGTTTCCAATTAAATGGTTATCTCCGTAGGTACATCATTTAGGACACCATGTCTTAGGAACATCCCACACTAACCAAAATTATTAGAACACTACCATATACTCAAGTCACATAATCTATAATTGTTGAGTTGGCAAGTATTGACCTCATGATGTACATAAATCACCATGCTTAATTATATAAAAATTGAAAGATCCCATTAATTAATTAATTAATTACTACATTTTCTTTTTTTTTTTTTGGTGAAATTAATACATTTTCTTTAATTATCTATCCAAAATTCCACATTATACCTTCAATATAAATACAAAACCTTTCTTATTACAAACCATTCCACCCCAACCCTCTTCCATGGAAAACCACAAGCACCAAAAAACTAACTCTAAAGACATTTTCTCCTTCCCTAGCACTCCAACAAGTCAAGACCAAGATTCCGATTTCGAATTCGGATCTTTAACACCGGATTCTCCTTCCGGTGCTGGAGATCCATACAATTCTTCACCTGCTGACCGTCTTTTCTACAATGGCCGTCTTCTGCCTCATTCTTTTCCACTTCCTCATGATAACCAACAACAACAACCTGGTTCAACGGTTTTAACTGACAGAATCTCTCGCGCTTCTAGCAGAACCAGCAGTGTCAGCAGCAAGGATTCGTTAATGTCATCAAGAAGTAATAGCGTCAATAGCAGAAGCAGTGTTAGCTCAAGAACGAGTTGCAGTAGCAGTAGTAGTGATAATCATTATGACAGAAAGTTATTATATTACAATTATAACAAAAAAGGTATGACTAGATCATCTTCTTCCTCCTCTTCATCTATGGCTAGCAAAGTTGTCATGGCACAACTGTATGGATCTTCTCAACGGTGGCAACATATTATGCCTGTGACGACGCCGTATTTGAAAAGAGAGGATTCAAGAAAGAAAAATAATGATAATGGTGGTGGGTTCTTGGTTAAAAAGCAAGAATTGATGAGAAATAACAAGAAAGAAGGTGATAAGAAAGCTAAGAAATTTGGGGCTTGCAAGAGTTTCTTTAGGTCTTTTTTGGTGGCATGTAGAGAATGTCATGCCATGGCACCGTCAAGAGAAGATGATGATATAATATTGGAGAGAAATGTGAAGTTATAAATAATAATAATTGTGGGTATAATTTTTTTTTTTTTTTAATTTGTGTGAAGATCGTCAAGACTAATTCTCCAAAGAAAGAAAAAACAGCTTTCTTGTGGTTTGATTTAAAATTCGAGTTTGCTCACCAATTTTTTTATTACAGAGCCTTTTCTTTGGTTTTTTTTTTTTCCTTTGAGGAAATTTATTTTGCATATGATTTTATTGGAATTATTATGTGTAAATCTGTTATTATCAAAATTGTAGAACTCCTAGAGGTTCCCGTCAGTTGGTTTCAAATCTTACTGAATGAAGTAAACAGAAAAAACAAATTTTTTTGCATAGAAAAAATAAAATGAACCGCAATGTCTGTAGAACTGAATCAAAACTGAACTGATTTGGCTAAACGAATAAAAGTTATTCCCAGTGCAGGCAAATTAATGATTTTGCATTATAAACTGAATGATTCAATTTTTGTATTTTTACTTGCTTTTTGAATTAAATCAGTTTAGTTTTAAAATTTTTTTTCACTTTTCTACTAAAATCAAAATCAAACCAAAACCGATTTGATCCACTTTACCTATTATAACCTATCCCCAGAACTGCTCTAATATTTTTCTCTCTAATAGTCAAAATAACTATGATATTTTAGTGGGTTGTGGAATGATTTTGCCATGATTTGTGATGTAAAAATCATTATTTTTGGGGGGCTAAGAGCCTCTGTAAAGGATTAATTTGACAGTACATTCAAAAACTGTTGTAAGTTGTAACAGCTGACATTTTGAAGTGATGATTTAGAGACCATAATCATTTGAGAAGTGTATAATTTATTAAATGTTGTCACAAATTAATTCTTTCTTGCAATGGTTTGGCTTTTTTTTGACCCATGACTTCTTTTTTTTCCCCAAACATTTAGTGTTTACTAATCTGATTAATATTCACACTGGACAAACCTATAAAAAGAGACAAAGTGCTCCTTTTTGAGTGTTTGAAGGGACTTTATACCTATAATTCAAACTCAGACCTCTGATCGAGGAAGAAAAGATTTACAGTATCTCAATCTCACCTATTCAGGTACTTTGGTGTCAAATGCGTCCCACCCACCAGTGATAAAAAATTGCCACAGTACTACTGTTCTGATACTCCAGGACTCTCTAGAGTTTTTTTTTCCCATGTGAAATATATTCACACCAAGTCAGAAATGATATTCCCAACAGTAGTATCGAGAGTTTAATAAGACCTAGAAATGTCAAATGTAAGCAACTGCATGAATTTTTGAGTTGGCATGAATTTTTGAGTGAAATTGAAATATTACTTCTAATGATGACACCTAAAATGCCTTAGACCATCTCTAGTTGGATATAATACAATATAATATAACGAAAGATATCATGCAATAAAAAATGTATTATAATAAAATGTAACTAAGGTTTCATTTCTGTGTTTAATTATGTAATTGAAAAAAATTTATAAAATGTAATTATCATTCTAATTTTATGTTTATTTGTAAATACGTAGAGTCTGTTCGGCAAAATTAGCTATTTCAATAACTGTTAACTGTAACTTTCATAAACGTTAAAAGTTAAACGTTAGATGAGTTAATTTTTTATAAAACGCTCTCTTAATTTCTAAAAGCTAGTTCAAACACCGTTAGAAACACAAATGTAATGTACTTAGAACACGAGTTTGAAATCGAATTTTGTTAGAATTCAGCTTTTGAGAGTTTTAATGAAATAACAATTAGATAGATTTTTGGATGGAACGACTATCACTTTATATTATATTAAGCAATGGTAAATACATTTATAAATTTATAATGCTTATAACCTTAGAGATAAGAATAAAATTCATCCACACATTGCAATCAACTATATAATGTCATTGTCATTCAATTATATAATTAATTTCATTGAACCAAAGGTAGCTTTAGATGCAATAGGTCAATAGCAAATCCAGAAATTTTTTCTATAAAAACATAATATGAACACTAAACATAATATATTCAATCAATATGTAAATGTACGAGTACCCATAATATCCTTGGTAAATATATATCAAGTGACTCCACCGCCATATAATGGATCTACCCTTGCTTAGATATGATTATAAATGAAAAACAAATTTAAATTAAATCATTTTTAACTTTGGGTGCCAAATTGGAAAGTGCTTAACCATAGTTGCATTATTTAACCTTCTGCTAATCAAAATCATGTTAATGAGCTTCAAAATTAATGATCTACTACGACAAATTAATGATCAGAAAGTTCAGTGGACTGATACAAAGAAACACAAGTACTAGTAAAAGGAACATAAAGACAAACACAAGAATCCCAAGAGCGCAAGTGAAAAAAAAAAAAAACTTTCCCTAGATACAAACTTCCTCTAATACAGTCATTCCAAGAAAGTCTCCATCACATCCGAATACATCCCTGCTTCGGAATTCCTGTACTCAACAGGTTGTTGCTGATGATGATCAACTGAAGTTGAAGAAGATGAAGTTGCCATTCTTGCAGGTAAAGTAAAGCTTCTTTTGAACTTGTTTTCCATTTTTCTTGCACTCTCTGGATGGCTATCTAAGCTCAGGAACTCATTAGGGTTTGCACTGCCAGTATTATGCATAGTTGTAGCTTCTGCATTTGCATTTGGATTTTGGTCTGCTTTGTTTCCGAAGCTCTCAGGGTTAAACAAAAGCTTAGCATCATCGGTTCGTCCAGTTAGAACGTTGAAGAAAGTCAACCCATTAGGCCATTTAATATCATTTTCATGTTCTCCCATCATCTCCTCCATTCGGGTTTCAGCTGAATGAGGAAGGAGGAACATATGGGGTTCATCTTTGGTTTGTGGAAATCCAAGTCTAGCTGCTGGGTTTTGAAAGTTTGGTGAAGAAAGCATAGAAGTTGCAGATGGGAGAGGCCTTTGACCCCAGTTGAATAGGGGCGCGGGTGGGCGAGTTGGAATTGCAGATTGCTTTGAAGGAATTGGGGATGAAGATGAAGTATTTCTGGTTGAGGAAAAGAGCTGGGAAAGATAGAAACCAGATTGGTAGCCTAGAGATTCAAAAGTATGCCTCATTCTTAGCACAAAATGAAGGTCTTCAGGTATCTGAAAATAAACATGATGCCTTTATAAGATTCTACCCAATGCTATAAGGTAAACACTAGATGACCATATTACTAGTCTAATGGCAGGTTCTGCTAAAACAAATTTTGCTGGAAATAACTTTTAAAGTTTGACCCATAATCTCCAGGGCCATCAGGTCTCTAGATTAAACATCAGTGGAGTCATATTAACCCTAAAAAGGAAATTAATCTTAAAAAAAACCCTATAAATAAATAAACAGAAGACTTCAGAATAAAGGAAAAGTAATAAAACTCACAATCTTGCAGGAACCCAATTGCAGAAGTCCATGGCCAGCTTGAATGACTGCAATGGTCTGGTAAAAAATTAATTGTGGAGAAAACTGTAAGTACTAGTAGGAAGTGGTAAAGGGGCAAAAAAGAAAGAAAAAGATAAGACTAAATATGTAGGCACCAACCTGAATGCCAGACTCAAATTGATCGGTCCATTCTGGAGGAAGCTGCAATTAATAGCATCAAACAGGGAAAGTTACAATCAAATCATAAATATGGTTCCATCTCAGCAGCAAGAATACCAATAATGGAGAACAATAAATTCCCATGTCTCATCTCTCTTTCTTTTGTCTAAAAACTGAAATAAAGTTCAAAACATTAGATTTATAAGATTTGTTTCATACAGCATCAAAAGAACTCTGCCAATAGTTGGAGATATTTGGTTCACATTCAGAAGGTTCTTTGAATACCCATTTATGACACTTATCTGAAGCAACCTTTCCCATTAACCTGAACAGTAAAAAAAAAAGAAAAAAGAAAAAAGCAAAATAAATCAAAATTAATACAAAAAGATAAGTCTTCAATGAAGTTTTCCATGTTTTCCCCTCTTCAACCACTTCCCTATAAGAATTAGAGTTAGAGAGAACTGAAACCAAAATAATAACACCTACCCAGTACCCACCCTTCTCCATAATTATATAATTGGATAGACATTTTGCTGAATGCTTTTCTAACAGGATCTTCTCCATCAATCTCTTCTAGACAATCTCCTACTCTGCCTCGGCAAAAACCATCTTCCCACATCAACATCCTTCACAGAAATTTTAAAATTCCAGATTGATTAATCAAAGAAATTATTGGAAAAAAAAAACATCCAAATAACATATTAACAAACACCCATTTCTCATTAACATTAAGTAGTCATTCTGTTCTTCCTTCCTTAAAAAAAATAACAGCTATTATATCCTATTTCTTTAATTTTCATAAAAGAACAAAACCATTTGTAATAATTGAAGTCTCACTGTTTCTTTCCCCTTTTTCACTCTACTATTACTACTAAAGGGAGGCAAAGAGTAATACTGCTTGCTCTGTTTGGCAACTGAGAAATAGCGAGAGAAAGGTAAAAAATAGAAAATCTGTAAATGAAAGGAATCTGATATATATAATTCTGTAAATGAAAGGAATCTGATTATATATATATATATATATAATATATATTATATATATTATATATATATATATATATTGTAAAACACAAAAAAAAAATTGTAAACACAAAAAAAAAAAAAAGGAAATTTTACTCATTACAGTAAAATTTTCAGTTTCTTGCCTCATCTTGCCCCGTTTTCTCTAAAACCAAACAGAGCATAGAAAAGGCAAAAATAAAGTAACAAATTTGTACAAACAAACAAATTTGCAAACTCACAAGCTTCCATTATCATCTCCAACCTTGCAACCATTACCACCCCTGACTCTTCTGCAAAAAAGAAAAAATATAAAATAAAAAACCAAAAGATAAATGCCCAAAAATTCCACAACCCATTACCTCAAATCAAAACAGAGACAGAGAATTGAAAACAAAGAAACAGAAAGTAGAAGTTTAACAGGAATAAAAAGGAGAAATTAGTACGGGCGAGGACGAATAGTCCAGAAAACAGAGTAAGTCCAGTCTGAGTTGAGACAGACGCTTCTAAGGGCCTCATGAAGGGCCATCATCCCAACAGCTTCTTTGCTCCTATCTGCTCCTCCTGAGCCCACCATCTCTCTCTCCAAAAGTCTCTCTCTTGTTCACCCTATGTGTATATATATTAGCAATCCAAGTAAAATTTTCTACCCTTTGATTGTTTTTTTTTTTAATTTATCTTCTTTATTATTGAATAGTATAAATCTCAAGTTCTTGACACAGAACACAGCCACCGTTTATAACTCAGTTTGGTAATAACTAAAGATTATTTATTTTATTTTTTCTTTTCTTTAGTTACTGTTTTTTTCTTTCTTTCTCTCTCTCTCTATAAAAGCTTATCAACCACAAAGGTGAATGGACCCTTTTCTTGATCTCTCTCTACTATTCTCTTTGTTTGTCCACAAGTGATCTTGATTCTTGATCAAACAGAGAGGTTAGAGAGAGAGAGAGAGAGAGAGAGAGTAAGGAGGATGTTTTTTTATCTGTTTAAGTGTTTCAACCATGATGAAAAATAAAAGGGATGGTGGGGACAAGACAAATATAGTACTTTTTTATTTTATTTAATTTTTCTCTGAGGTGGAAAATGTGGCTTTGATCTTCGCTAAGGCAAAATTGCTATTTTGACCTTTTCGGTTGTGGAAAATTTCAGTTTAGGTTAAGTTGGTTTTTGCTTTGCTTATTATTTGACTTGGTGTACTATATATATATTTTGGCGTTTTTGGCCGTGTTTGTGGTTTTTTTTTTTTTTTTTTTTTTTTTTTTTTTTTAAACTCTCTGTTTGGGTGAAGAGGTCAAGAGGTAAGGATAATTAGCTTGGCTCCTCAACAACTCTATTTTTGTTTTGTTTGTTTAGGTATGACTTAAGCTTTTAGGACATTTTGTTTTTGGAAAAAATTAAAAGTTAGAAAATAATTATTGGTGAATAATGGAGAATATGGTGTATGTATATAAGTATACAATTGAACTCAAATTCAGAAAGGTCTGATACAATAAAAAGATCCAATCATAATAATAATAATAATAATAATAATAATAATAATTAATAATTTTAATTATGCTTTTATTTACCGTTATAATTTTGTCACTTTTTAACTTTTTATTAAAAAAATTAAGAAAATAAATTGAGTTGTCTCAATTTTAAATAATGTTTATTTATTGAAATTCAAAATTTATGCAGATATCTAGAAAAAAGATAAATTTGAAATTAAAATAATTATTAATGCCTATTTATTTTTTTAATTAACATCTAAATTTAAAAAAAAAAAAGTTTAAAACCCTGATAAAAATTTAACAAATTTGAGAGAGTATTATTATTTTGATAGATTAAAAAAGAAAAACTAATAATAATAATAATAATAATTTTTTATTATTGCTTTTTTTCCGTTAAATTTGTCAATTTTTAACTTTTTATAAAAATTAAGAAAATAATTGAGTTGTCTCAATTTTAAATAATGTTTATTTAATTGAAATCAAAATTTAATGCAGATATCTAGAAAAAGATAAAATTGAAATAAAATAATTAATGCTATTTTATTTTTTAATTTAACATCTAAATTTAAAAAAAAAAAGTTAAAAACCGATAAATTTAACAAATTTGAGAGAGTATTATTATTTTGATAGATTAAAAGAAAAACAAACAAATAAAATACACAATAAAAAGAAATTATTACACGATCTTTGGCATAAATCATCATTTATATGAGATTGAATCAGACAGAGGTTTACCCTTCATCCATCCGAGGGATTTGGGAGTTGAGACTTCTCTGCTTTTATGCCTTAAAATTATAGTATAAAAAGTTCATGATTCAATTGTAATATTTTATTTTCTTTAAATTTGTTTATATAACAAATAAAAAATAATAATATTGCACTTGCTAAGATATTATGAAAAATGTAGTGTTCTTTTTGTTAATTTTCTTTTTAGTTCATTTTGTTGACGGCACTCCCAATTAGTTTACTCGTGAATCAATATTATAGCTATGTTCGACAATAACTTTTAAAGTAACTTTTAGCGTTTTAATTTGTCAAAATAATAAATGCTATTTTTTATAGTGTTCGGTAACATAGCGTTTGAACTAGTTTTTAAAGTTTAAGACAACGTTTTATAAAAGTTAACTCATGTAACATTTAGAGCTTAAGGTAGCATTTCATAAAAAATTAACTCATGTAATATTTAATTTTTAGCGTTTTTTGAAAAGCCACTCAAACAGCTATCAACTAAATGTTACTAAAGCAATTAACCACTGTCAAAATAACTAATTGTGCCGAACAGATATTGTAAAGTTCTTCTTCTCAAATTTAAAGACATACCCATACTTTTCATCTATTTATTCATAAAATAACTTCTAAGTTCTAAATGGGGGGTTGCTGACTTCAAGAACAATCATGGAGGCAAAATGTTTACAAATGTAATAGTTGTAATGCCATTTTAAAAATATTCTTGATGCAATTTTATGTTTTGTGCAACAAAATTCATGAAAAGTTATTTAAAAATCTTGAAATGAGATTAGTCTCGTATCTAAAATATGTAAAATACTCGTGATATTATCAGAAAAAATATATGATTTTTAATATGGGTAATGAAATGATGATTTAATAATTAATTACCTTCTATGTAATCTTATAGTAATAGATTCTTCATGATGTTCAAAATCAAAAGCCAACTAAAATTTAAAGACAAGGCAGTGATTTTAGTTAAACATTTTAACAATTGTTTGTTATGCAATGTGTTACAATGCAACACAGTGGGTATTTTTTTTTTTTTTAAACTATCCTGTGTCTGAAGCTCACGGACCCACTAATCCAGATTCGCGGCAATCAGACTCATAAAAAGATGGACAAAGCGCTTCCTCCCAAGTGGCTAAAGGGACTCCATACTTAGACAAAGTGCTTTTCTTTGTGCTAATTTAATATGAATAATTTTAATTTTATTAGTAAATATATTTTATTTGGTTATATATTCACTGATTTCTTTATTATAAATATATATTTTTAAACTCAAAATCAAGAATATGCCTAAAATAAAAGTGGCAATTAGTTATAAATCCCTAGCAATCAAAAAATGAAAATTTAAATATTAGATTATTAAAAATAGTAAAAGAACATATAGAGAGAAGCAGTTATTAACTTCAAAGTAAGATTAATCTCATATCTAAATAGAGTACAAGGATGTTCATGGAAAATAAAAATAAAAATAAAAATAATAGTGTTTGGTATTTTTGCTTTAATCTTAAATCATTAGATTTTGAAACATTTTAATCTCTCTTCCTAAGTCAAACTAAACATTAGTTATTTCTCTAAAGATACATGTTTGATGTTTCACAATTAATTTATGACTTCAAATTTTATTTTTTAATATTGGCGTTTAAAAATTGCATTTGGCAAACTCTAGTCTCTAATATACTTTAATCTATTAAATAAACATGGTTTTGAAAAATCAACCCTTTGCAATAGGAAAACAACAATAATGAATTCAATTATATTAGTGTTGATTGAATTTTATACATTTAATCATAATAATTTTGTCAAACATAAATATTTCTATTGAATTGTTGGATTTTTAGTTTAATTATTTTGAAAAATATCAAAAATAAAAATTTCGAGAACTTGTAATTTGTATTTGATTATTATAAATAACAAAAACATGTTATTTTATTATAATTAATATTATTATAATTTTTTTAAGTCGTACAACGTAAATATTTTTTTTGCTCTTCGACAGTTATAATTAAGATATTAATATTTTTTGAAGGGAATGAATAAGTGTTGGCATTGAACAGAATCTTTTAATGGTCAAAAGTGGCATGAAGGATTCTGAGGATTAGATTTGGATTAATATGATAATATTGTTATGTCAGTGTTGTAAGGAGGAACTTGCATTTGCAAGGTGTAATCATAATTTATTTGTACGGCTCCAATTTCTATAGGACTACCCTTTTCTGCTCACTTCCAACACTTGTCCTAATTCCTTTGCCCTACCTTCATAGGTAAGGCTTGTGAAATATCATAATTGCCCCTTCAGACCTTTTATTCTCAAAATTGCACTGATAATAAATACTACTACATGATAATGTACGATAATAAATATATAAAAAATAATATATAAATATATTAAATGATATTAGACTTTTAAATAAGCTCTAATTAATATATTATAGTCCCTATCCTAATAGAATTATCTCTATTTCAATATAAATATCTCAAATTAACTCTAGAAAGGAAAATTCTCAAATACTCTCAATTCTAATCCTGTTAGTTAACATTATCTCTGTTTCGTAATACTTGCCACATAATTTCATGTTCCTTAAGAAAATCATTAAATTTGTCTAAATTACAATAAATTATTGAGTAAATTGATTATATTATCATTAATTTAATACCAATTCTTTTAAGAAAACTATCAAATTAAAGTAATAATTATTGGTCATATATAAAGATAAATATAGGAAAAAATATTTATTACTCATTGAAACCATAAATATGATAAGTATTTTGGAATAAATCATTTTTTCAAACGTAATAAGTATTATGAAATGAAAATAATATTTTAACATCCAATCATTTTAAAACTATTGGTTTATTTGTTATGATTTTACATCTAATCAATTTCTATCTATATCCAAACCAAATTTGTATGATTATTCATAAAAAATAATCATAACTTAATTTTGTTTTGAAATTTTATATAAACATAAATTTAATGAATATATAACTATTGTGAAACTTTAGTAGTTTAGTAGCTATCATCAGCTTAACTAGTTTCATCAGAAGTTAAAAAAATAACGTTTCTTAATCTTAAAATATTAATATAAATGCAATAGTATTGAACAATATAAATAATAAATATAGCATTTTGACTTAGTCATATTAAAAATTATATAAAAAATTATTCCAAAATAAGACCTAAAAGAAAAATTGTTAAAATTTTATCTATCACATTTTTATATTATATATATACTTAACAGCGGGTCGAATTGATAAATTGTGAATTCGATAAATTGTTAAATCAATAAAATTTTATATTTTATAAGAATGAAGCCAAAATTGCAGAATGGAGATCGTAACGAAATTTATTCATTTCATAGATTATGATCTATTTTTAGCAATAAATTCTATAATTCAAACAAGGATAATAGAGATGGTTTTAATTTATTGCAAAAATCTGAAATTTAAAAAAAAAAAAATGGCAATCAGTGGTGGCAATGTGGTCTTTTAACAAGAAGAGTGCTCAAATCAATTTGAAAGACAAGTTGGAAAGCGAGCAACACTGTGATTATGATTATAAAATTATAAGTACTAAAACAAACAGGTGGATTACTATAACACGTAATAATAATAATAATAACAATAAAGTTTGAGAAAGAAGGATTAAGGTGTCACGTGTGCACGTG